AAAAAAAACCCGCCCCTTTTTTTAATCTAGACCACACATGGGAATTCTCAAAGCTGTCTGCAGGGCCCCCCCCCCCACTATGCAAATTCTGGAATGCCTCCAAAGACGACAGAGAGGAATTTACCCGTGTTAACCAAAGCAGGTCACTGGAACAGCAGCAAACGCCACTTTAGTATGTGGAGCCAAATATGACAACTACTCTCCGGTAACTGTCACTGACATAGAAATCCTGATTTCAACCTAAACTTTTCTGAAACTGTGACCTCCTTTTGTCCTGTTTCTCTTCATGAGACAACCTGACAACCAAAGAACTTGGTGGAATTCCTTCAGCATTTTCTAATACACCATGACCACCTTTTACAACCCCTAGCCTGAGAAAAATTGGCCTAAATCAAACTACTTGTACAGATTAAAAGGTCATTTCTCACACAAGATGAATGAAGATTCTAGCATCATCACCGCTATTCTCTTCAAAGTCAAGGCCTAGGACCATCTCTTGGGGAAGACCACAGATAAATTCTTAGGCTGATGAGACACATCATTCAAGATGCTATGATGATCTTGTGACAAGAGCCTGCACCACATCTACTTTCTTACCAAAGAGTCTCTAGCTGGAGGGAAGGAATGCTCAGTCAACAATAAGGAGAAGGGCTGAACTGAAGCTTCTTTAAACTCTCCACTGTGGATAACTCTGTATGCTTATACCACCTCACAATACTGCCTTAGACTGCTCCTAACAGGGTCTGTGAGAGGTAAGAAAAGCCAACCATTGTCAGTAGATTTGAACTACTATCAGAGAACATAGCGGGGGCCCACATATCAAAGGTTAAAGCTCAGTAATTTGTTTTGCCATTGCACACACACATTCCCCAAGGTCACCACCAGAGAGAACCTGACTGTTTATGACTAGGTCTAAGCCAGAAGATCTAGGAATACTTCCCATTCACCCATATTCCTCAGGGAAAAACAGACCTCCAAAGAACTGACATCCTTACTTGTTGCGTAACAGCTTTGTCTGCAACAAATCGTCCGTTTGTCATGTACTGCAGATTTGTTCTCAAGTGATCCACGGCTTTCTTCTTGCAATACTCCTCTAGGCCAGAGCAGAGTAGGACAAAACGCATCAGCTGTGCACCCAGACAGCAGCACCGGGAGAGGCACAGGAGGATGAACAGGCCCTCGAGAACGTGAGGGACTGCTCCAGTTGGAAGACTGGGGCACTTGTACAGACCAAACTGCCTTTAAGAAGTGTGTGTGTGGGGGGGGGCGGGATCTGGGAGAACGGGGTGGGAGGGAGTGATGGGGACAGCAGGACCGTGACGGGGAGGGGAAGGGCAGCACGAGGAGACCCGGCGCGAGGTGGTGGGGGGGGCAC